ATTGTTAGAAAGGACCAACCGACCAAATCAAAGCAAAGTAGAATATTTTATTGATGTAAAAACTGTACAGGATTATTTGTGTTCTCTAAATATAAATAGAGAACAGACCAACATGACTTTTACTAACCAACACAACTATTACAAACCAACACACCTATTAACAATAGAAACTACCCATAACTGCCTTTTAGAAACTACCCACTGTTTTTTTAATTAATTAAATATGTAAAACACACTAAACGACACCACACTATTTGACTCTATACTAACTGACCCGAACATTGACTCATTACCCATTCGGTTATATGCGAACAAACCCGATTATATCTAACAGCGATGGAGGAGATTGAGCACCAGCACAGGTCACACAGGAACAAGAAGAAGAGAGGTAGAGACTGGTCATGATAGATGAAAGTAGGTCTCCCGAAAGGTATAATTCAATTTGGCAAAGTGAATACACTAATTTAACCCTAATTTTGGTAAAAAAAAAATAAAAATAGAAGAGTTGTACGCCTCAGATCTGCCTCAAATTGTATGGCTTGAAGCTCTGTTTCCGACTTTCCGTCATGAAAAGCATTCAATGAAACCCAGCACAAGGCAAAATTGCCTCAAATCTGATATTTCTAACAATGATGCAGAGTTTATGCATTTTGAGAAGGGATTTTGATAAAAGCATGTGACCATAAAATTGAAATTCATTTGATGACAGTTAGTTATTCTCTCTTTTTCTCTTTGATTTTTGGGGTCAAACTAATAAAAAGGACTTCAAAACCTATTACAATTTACAGAAACATCAGGCATATAAAGCCAACTATTAAAAATTCATGGATTCATGAAAACGTTAGTCAACGCTTAAGGGTTTGATTGATAGGCCTATAAGGCCTACAATTACTATTTTAAAGTACATGATAAATTGATAAATAAAAATATTAAGTAGCTAAAAGGAATTCTATACCTAGTATAAAATAAAAAATCAACAACAACCCAGTTGGATCCCACAAAAGTAAGGTCTGGGGAGGGTGTGTGTACGCAAACCTTGCCCCTACCCGGAAGTAGAGAGGCTGTTTCCAAGAGACCTCCGGCTTCAGTTGCACAAAAAGAAGGATCACAGCATATGCACAAAACAGGAAAAACACATATACAACACAGATAAAGCACCCTGCACCCAGAAAATAAACTAAAATTATGAAGGGAGAGTCTTGCAAGCAAATAGAAGATAGCAGCAAGCATAAAAGGAATATCAAGCACACCACAACACCGCCCCCTTTCACAATGCATCTACCCAAGTACTCTAATCCTATCCCTCCAAACGCTCCTATCTAAGGCCATATCCTCACTAAGGGTAGGAAGTCTTAAGTCATGTCTAATACTCTAATCACCTCCTTCCAAATAAAAAATCAAAAGTAAATAACAGGGAACAGTAAATGAACCTGTCAGAAGCTTCCAATTCAGCTCTTAATTTTGCAAGTTCTGCTTCTGCAGCAGAAAGCCTCTGTTGGCAAGCTGCATCAGCTTCATTAGCAGCTTTAACTCTCAATTCAAGGCCATGCTCAGCAAGAGCATTTGTCAGAAATTCAGCTTGGGAATGAGCTCTACGCTCTGATTCTTGAATTTCCATTACATTTCTAGTAGTTAAAACTTAACTTTTATTGTCGCAATAGAACATCACATCAAATTAATATATTACTCCATATGTCCCAAAAAAAAAGTCTCGTTTTGTCAATATACGTCATTTTAAATTTGGCGAAATACATGTATTAGTTTATTACTACTCATGAAATCACATTTATATGTTTAAAAGGTATTAGAAAGTTTAACTAAATGAATCATAACTAACTTGTAATATTTCCAGGCAAATTATTGGTGAAATATATGAAAAATTATTTTTGATTTGATAAAATAGAGAAGTAGAATTCATTTATGGGATGAAAACATATTTTGAAACATCCACCTTTTTGGGACGGATTGATTAAGAGTCTGACTGAGATAACAAGCATACATTTTGCATCCTATACCGGAAAAAACATTTAAGATAATTGTTGATGCCTTCAAACAATTAAAAGTCTCTTAAAAACATTTCAAGATAATTGTTGATGCTTTGATTAAAAGTCTGAACATGGAGTAGACATGCAAGTGAACCTACCTATTATCATATATTTGCTGGCTATGCATGTCCAAGATTATTTTACGCTCTTCCTGCTCCTGTTGCATTTGCTCAACCTGCAATATTTTGAATGTATAAGCTGGACTAATAAGAGGTGCAATGCTTATTAAGTAAATAAATTATAGACTTGTGTAGTAAAACTTACAAGTGCCTTCATTGATTTAATCACACCAACATTTTGAGCACATTTTTTAGCCAAATCCTTTTGCTCACTAGTCTGCCAGTAACAAGTTTGTAAATCTCATAATAACAAAAATCTCATAATAACAAAAATCTCATAATAACAAAATCCGCGACCTCTACATATATAAATAATCAACTTCCCCCTTCCCAAATCAGCCCTGCAAAAAGAAAAAGAACAAATGGACAAGAATACTCCTAAGCTTGAGTTGTCATACAGGAATACTCCCAAAATAAATATTGCTAAAAAATACTCCCGAATCCCAACTGCTCATCTTTGTCATAATTATGTTCCACAGAAGACAGAATCTATCCTCTGTTCTGTCAATGTTGAGATGCCTACTTCATATATGCCACCATACCAATTTGACCACACCTTTGAAGAATTTTTCTGACGATTAAGCCTTTGTGAGTGCTATTGTTACACGGTCCAAACTTTAAAGAATTATGTGTATTATTTACATAGAGTTTAAGAAAAAAAATTGTGGTTGAGAGTTGTTTAGAAATTAGATGAAAGAGAAAGATTGACCAAGGACATCACAATAGAGAAAAAATGGGGTAACTCGTGTCACGAAAATGTGGCTATAACAATGAGAAGGCAAGACATGGTGGCGCTGACAGGCACAGACATAACAAGGATAAACTATGTTATCTTTGGAGCATTTTTGTAACACGGATCATCTCTTGGAGTCTTGGGAGCATTTTTGTGCAATATGTGATCTGAGAATATTTGGATAAGATGACCCAAAATTTGGAGTATTCATGTGCACTTGTCCAAAGAAAAAAAAAATAGCAAAAGAATTTCACCCTCAGCATATGCCCACGGAAACCAGGTGTCACATAGACTTCCTTAGAGGAACTAACACTAGCTTTTTCTCCCTTAGATCGAGGACATGCTGGTGCTTCAAAGATATTCAAGTTCAAAGGTCGTTTGAACTGAAATTTTTAAGGCATCATAAACATGTAAACAACACTCCTTTTTAAGTAGGGGCAAAGATCCCTTCTTGATTGAAATATATGAAATGGGAACCAAGCTTATTTAGATCTAGTGTATCAATGGCATTCACTTCTACAGATCCATTAAATATCTTGAACTTGAGATTTCAATTTTTCTGCTATAAATTATGGTTACACATTGCTGAAGATATTAGGCCGGATCACAAAGCCTATGCAAGAGGAGGCTTTGGAGCTCAGCCCAAGGAAGCCCTGATAGATCGAACACAGGCTTGTCTTATATTGTCTCACCCGCTCAACTCACCTCTTAGGTAGGCCTCCACTCGGCCCGCCAGCTTGGATTCGCATCAATAGTGAGAGTGTGAGACAACCGCTATTCCTTAATTACGTTAAAATAAGCTATTCATTGTGGTAGTGCTTGTTGGTTGCAACCTAACACCGAACCGTTGTCTGGGCCAAAGGTCATTTACATTGTATTTTGTAAATACACCCTCCACTCTTCTATCCCCTCTCTCTAAGATGGATCTAGATTTAGGGTTCCTCCTACCCCTAGACCTAGACTCCATCACACGTCTATTGCATATGAAGTAGGTGGAGTAAATTCACTAACAATTATAGGCAATACCAAAATACAAGCATAAACATATTTGGTTGGAAGATGAAAAGGAACCATTTAAACTTTGAAATAGCACAAAGGTATAACCTTTTTGTCCAGTGAAGTTTTGAGAGTCTGTGCTTCTTCTCGCAACATAAGAGACTCTTGAGCTGCATCCTTCCAACGGTTCAACTGAGCTCTCATCATTCCAGTCTCCTTTGACAAAGCAGAAGCCATAATCCCAAACTCAGATTTAATGTCCTTTAGTCCTGCAAAAGTGAAGCCAACGTCTAAGTACAAAGTGCACAAATTACCTGAAGAGTGAATTACAGTATAATCCCCAACTATGGGGTCATTTCCTAATTAAACCTTGCCTCTTTAATTTGATGATTTTAATTTGCCACTTCCAGTGCTACATTTTCAATTTATCCTCCCTAGAATTGAAAACGGAAAAGCATTGAAGGATGCAATGTGATCAAATTAAAAATGTAGGACTCAATGTAAAAAATGCTACCACAGTAAAAGACTACAGCTCAATTTTATTCTCAATGTAAAACATTCAAATTGAAACCAACCAGAATCTTGAATGGCTTCTTCCATTTTGACTGCGCATTCATTGTTTTCAACAATGCATCCCTGAAGCTGATGCTCTAGTTCTTTAATTTTTGATTCTGAATCATTTATAAATTTCCGGGCACTGTCCACAGACTCTGCTTTCAATGTCAGGTCGTTGTCACTCCATGCTATGAGAGACTTATCAGCCTGGGTTTAAAAAATTAAGCACGTAATACAATAGTGAAATGCAAACTATATCCCAATTATTTTATTTATTTACTTCCTCCATCCCAAATTGAAGTTGAGGGGTTGACTTTACGAAGAAAAATGTTGAAAAGCAAAAAGTGTGGTTAATGTTTTTTCCGAAGGAGAAATGTTGCGAGGAACATATTCATTTCCTATGAAGTTTACCTTTCCTATGAAGGTAAAAATGTGTAAACTTTATTTTGGACATCCCAAGGAAAGGGTAAACTTCATTTTGGGATGGATGGAGTATCTGTTCAATTATTTTGCATGGGGTGACAAGTGACCCTCAACAAATTAAATCTTCCACAAGTCTGGCCCAGACCACTAGACACACACACACACACACACACATACATACATACATACATACATACATACATACATACATACATACATACATACATACATACATACATACATACATACATACACACACACACATACATACATACATACATATACTCCCTCCGTCCAACAATAAACTTCCCATTTTGAAGAACGTGCAAAATCCCATCTTTTTTAAAATTACTTTATTTACAAATTGGTATATCATAAAAAAGTACAAATTACATTGTTCAAAACTACATCAAAAGTTCTTCAAAACTAGATGTGAATAGAATACTTTATCTTATCAAATGATTGATGATATTAAGCAAACTAACATAAGTTATCGAGAACCCGTAATAACAATTGGGAAGTTTATTGTTGGACGGAGGGAGAATATATATATATATATATATATATATATATATAAAATATATAGACACACACACACATGGAAAACTATGCAGCCTTACCTGTTCCACTAGCTCTTTGTATCGTTCCACCTGAGCCTCCCAGTGATGAAGTTGATCATTCAATACATTGTAAGCACGGGCTGAATATACAAATTTATCATCCTTCAACTCAGCCTATAAAAAGAGCATCAATGTTTAGCTTCACTGCCTGCTTCCTTATACCCTAATGCTGGTGGTGGGCCAATGTTAGTGTAAAACCTCAAGGTTTGTTATTCAACATATGTGCTAGCACATGGCAATAGAAAAATCCATCACCAATGTTTAGCTTCAACCCTTATTGGGAGCAAACGGAATGCATCAGGGAAAACAATTCAAATACAACATTGTGCCACAGCTAAAGAATATATTTGCAGTAGAGGAAAACTAGAGATTAAACAGTATGCATACCTTGAGAACAAAATGCAATATCCCCCTTGGGTTCCCCACTTCTTAATTATTTTATTAAGGTATAATTCAGAACAGTCACTTCACATTTTTGTACTAGCAGTAACCCACCATTAATGGGAAACAACTATATTATTTCAAGGTATCACAGTGCTTTTGATCACTAAAAGATTACAATAAGGGCATCCGGACATCCGGCATATATTTTTGCCGCAATGTTTGTTGAAGCATGAATTGAATGTAAGCTAATTTAGACAAATAATTGACACTAAATATTTCATACGCCAATCAAAATGTAGATAAGATTAAGGTGACAGTGAGAACTGATCCAGTATTTCTGAAATTAGAGCAGGCATTGTTGGATGTATGAGCCCTAGAGGCCAATGTATGAATGATGAATCGATATCTGAATATTTATCAAGAATAAAAGGCTCTAAAGATTGTTTATACATCTCGTGTATCTAAACATGGCTTTAGTCCATAGACTTGACGCTCTGGTAGCATAGATTAGAACTAGGATGTTCTTATTATGAGGTTGTTACATTAATAGAGGCTATGTCTAAAATGTTTTTAGTCGAATATTAGGATAATACGGACGTCATAATATACTAAGACTAATACGTATAAGACAAGATAGATGTGTCTTATAGGCTATGGATATTGTGATATCTCAATCTATACGTAGGTACATATCTGGGATATGGTACTGGACTGACCCACCATGAGAATACTACAAGGGTATTATTTTAAATGTGTTAGTAGTATTCTCATTCGACCATTGGTATAACTATCCTTAGACTTGAGGCCATTACAATCTTTAATATGTTGAACTATATGCTTTGATTCATAACTAATGCCATCTGAAATACTAGTGGACGTACAGTTATGTTTTGGGTATATACTTATGCATATGTAAAGGCGTGAATGGCGTAAAAAGCATTTATTCCTTCCATTGTGATAAAGTGTAATGTCTTTGGGCCCACTGATTGATGTGATTTGGGAAGTGTGTGGCCATACCTAGATAAATTAATAAATGTGATATTAATGTTATTTGAATCCCACAAGTCAACCTGATAATCAATAAACCAATGATTGAACTCTAACAAGGTGACACTTCTCATACCTTGTGTTAAATCAAGACGTTAAAGATAAAGGGATAAGAGTTATACAAATGTAATGTGTTGTTGGAGGTATTGTTGCGATGAACGTCATGTTTATAACTTGGTTAGTGATAATGTGTTGCTAGATAGGGTAAAATATTAAAAGTGAATAATATTATTTACGTGTGACATAAATAAGTAGTTGGAAATTATATTTTGACATTTTAATTATATGATAATTAAGTTTGTCAATATAATATGTATTATATACATAAAATCACGGTTATATATATATATATATATATATATGTATGTATGTATGTATGTATGTATGTATCGATTGGTATTTTGGTGTATATAAAAATATATTTTTATTTATTTTGTTTTAATTATATGATGATAATTAAAGTTGACAAAATATATTGGAGTAGTTTACTATGGTAGGGTCGAAAATACAAGAGAGTAATTAAGGAAGAGTTGGATTTTGTTTTCAACTCAATAACTAGTTATTTAATGAAATAACTAATTTCCTTAATATAAGAAGACTTGCTCTCCACTTCATTGTAGAGATTAACGTAACTCCCTGCGTAATTGGAGTGCCCTGGCCTACCATCTCAACGAAAAAGAGAGAAGAAAAGAATTCCAATATTATTCAAATAATATTTTATATTATAGTAATATTCTAAGAAAGATGCTTAGGGAGATGCTAAGCAAGACTCCTGCTACTACTGGAGGGACATACCATCCTAAGCAAGACTCCTGCTATTACTGGAGGGAGATGCTTAGGGTGAGGGATAAATTCAATGAAATGCCAAACCCTAAACCTTATGAGATTAGGGAAGGGTATAGTTGGCTACTAGGTAATAGGGATAAACCTGTTTGGAGGCATTGGGTCTGGAATAAATTTACCCCTCCCAAATTCAGATTCATCATTTGGTTATTCTGGAGAAGGAAGCTGCAAACTAAAGAGAGACTTGCTAAATTTTTGAGCATAAACACCAACTTTGAGCTGTGTGGAAGAGCAACTGAGACACAGGACCATCTAGTTTGGGGGTGTGATAAGGCGAAATCAATTGGGCAGGCTATCATGAAGGAGTTCAGATGTTCCTTGAACTGCAATTCTGAAGGTGAGTTTGGAGTGGAAATGTTGAAGGTCAAGGGAGGGAAACAGAGGAAAATGGTTATAGCAATGTGGGCAACCTCAGTTTACTTCATTTGGAAATGGAGGAATGACTTGTGGCATCAGAAGAACAAAAGCTTTGAAGAGATTCAAGATCAAGCTATTCATTACATTAGGAGTTACTTTAATTGTATGAGAATTATGTAATTAAGATATGTAGCTTTGGCAGAGACTTGATTGAAGGATGTATTTGAATATTTGAAGTGGTAATGAAATCTTGTGATTTTTGTGCAAGAAAAAAAATATTCTATGAAAGATTTACTAGCATAAATTCTTCTTAGAACGTTGTTCGTTGTTCGTGTGGACGCGCTAGAGGTTGGATAATTTTGTGGCTACGTTCGTTGCACCAATCCCTTCACCTACACAGTCGGATCTGTTTTCTACGAGAAAAGGTATTCTTCTTTACGATGATTTATAGTTTTCGTAAGAAGATCTTGGGTGGTAACAACGATTGGACATAAAAATTTTGTTTTCCGCTGTGCTATCCATGCGTGGTTACCCAAAAGGCATCCCCCCTCCCTCAAAAAAAGACATTAGATTGTAGATGCAGTTTTTAAAATCTGATTCAAAAACTTCTAATTTGAGACCTTCAGATCTTGCAACTGCTTTAGCAGGATAGAATTGTCATCTTGTGCATCTTGCAGCTCAAAAAGGCGGTCATCTGCCAAGACCTATACCATATGAAACATGATGAGGACCACATATACCTAAAAGAACATGATATTTAAAGAAAAAATCTCAGAAATGAAAATACATAATCAAGAAAACACAAAAACAATGTAAAGGAACCTTTGTCTCCTCAATTGAATCTTTCAGTTCCTGAACACTCCTTGTCCTATGTGCATTCCCATTGACCATACCCAAAGCTGGTAACTCTCGTGCCGAGGCAGCCTCTTTTTGCATTCTTAAGTTAACTAGCTTTCTTCTACTTTCTTCAAGTTCTGACATGCTTTCTTCTAGCTCACCTTTAAGTATGAAAAGACAATATATTAATGTTCAACCTTTAAATGCCAAGTAACAGGTGGAGAGCCAAAACTCATATACCATAATATATTTCTTATTGTGCATGTTTTTCAAACCAGCTAAGGATCATCATTCAAAATCAATTAGTCTAAATTTTTTTAATTCATTGTACATAGGGGTACATCCGACCCCCCCCCCCCTTACCCCGCAATGGGTAGGAGCCTTTGAGGCACTCGGATAATGTTGTTGTATTGTACCTACAAAATTTCATCCGGTAGGCTTTCCTAATAATTCTCTCTATGTGCATGCAGTGCAAGCCAATCACAGGATCTTCATTGCTCTAAGCATAAACTACTAATAACTAAAATTATTTCCATATAAGTAACTAAAATAATTATAATGTATTTTAGAGCAGGTGCATTAATTATGCATTGAAAACAATAAATGTATCGAGCGCGGGAAAATATTCCACATACCCTCAAGGCACTGTAAATCTGATTGATATGTTGGATTTTGCTCATTAAGCTCAAATGCCTTAGCACATACTTCATGCTTCTGATGAAGAACATTGATCACATGATGTAGTATGCTAGCTTCATCTTTCATCGCATCATTGATTTTTCTTGATTGAACTAAAGAATCTGAAGCAGTCATAATTTAATACCAAAAAATTATTAATCCTATCCCGTTACAGCTGTCTCATTTTGCCATTTTGGTCCATCCCAAAATATTCGTCTCATACCAAATTTGTCATATTTTTGTGTTTCAAAATCATTTATACTTTACATGTTGAATATCAACCACACAATTCCAATTCTTTAATGTGGGAAAAAGGGAGTATTAATTTAAGTTCCCGACCATCCCACTAGTGCATCAGATAATATCAGACTTCGCACTTTTGAGTAGGGGCAGGGTCTGCGTTGACACACCATCCCCCAGACCTACTAGTGTGGATCCAACTGGGTTGTTGTTGTTGTATCAAACTCCGCACCTTTAACATCAAGTATACAGTTATACTATATTCTTTCCATATGTGTGCACTGATAGGGGATGGTAAACTTAAAATAATTGAACACTCGTCTCAACCTCTCGTGCATCCTTACCTGCTACAGATAGTATTGCATCCAAAGCCTTAGCAAATTCCCTAACTTTAGAGCTCTGAGCATCAAAAGCATCTTCCAAGGATGTCATTAGTTCCATAGTGTAAGAACGCCTTACATCTAAAGCTTCTTTGACATCCATAGTTGATACACCACTTCCACCACTTTGAATAGACTCCTTATTCAATATTCTACATAGAAAAATCTCTTCAGGAGGACATGAAGGAATTGACCCTATAAGGGAAAATGCGAGAGAGTGAGGCATGTCTGTACAGAATTTAACACGAGAAAATTTGTGCTACATCAAAATTTTTAAGGGTAGCATAGAAAATTACAAAAGTTTTAAGCATTAATAGGACTAATTGATAGAGAAACCTCGAGAATAACCAAGATGACTTAGACTTTGTAAAGATCTTTGATCTGTGGCAATTTTTGCTCCAAGAAGCATCAAATCGTCATCTAACTAGAACACATTACCAACTAAAAAGTCAGAGGTAAAAACAACTGATGAATTTTACTTGTGAAGGGGAAACAAAAGCACTGGGAAAAAACCACCTTATTCCAAAGTTGGTTAATTGAAATCAATATGTCATCATAAGATGTTTGTCTAGCTTGCAATTCTTTCATTTTTGCTTCAAGATCATGCAATTCTTGTTTCTGTGCATCTAAGTGCCGGACAAGTTTCTGATTCTGATACTGAAGAACAGTAGTATCAACCTGCCAAAGAAAGATATTAACACTCTAGAGTCTAGCCTCTAAAAAACTTCACAACATAGTCTCAACTCACCAGGGTCAATATAGCTTTCATATATAGCAATAATAGTAATCTTTAACTCTTAAAGTAAATATCATTACAGAATAATTCAGAGAAACAGGGATAGAGTAAGCAAATTCTGACAGTTGCTAAAACTCTCTATTCTCTAGATATCAGTATAGCATTCATTGCTGAGAATGCACTATTGTTTTTGCAGAAAGAATAGATATTCTAAGAATGGGCGCTTCGCTTAGTTGACCCCTCGGGAATGACTATTTTCACTGAAATTGTGTGTGCTAACACACACACGCGCGCGTGCACACACACACAGTATAATGCAAAGATTTATAATTGTGAATACACACATGCAAACAAAGAAAAAATACGCATATAATCAAACAAAAAGAAGATAATTGTGTTGAGTGCAAGGATTTAAATCGGCTAGAAAATTTTTAAAAAAACTACCCCATGACATAATGTGCAGGTTGATAAACTCGAGATCCTTGACATCATGCGCAAGGTTTTGTTAAACTCGAGATCCTAGCTAGGATAGATAGGGGGTGAAAGATCATAAATCGGGATCGTAACTCAGATCACAAGATCTTGGAGCAATAGTTAATATGCAAAATTTGTTAAGATTGTAAATCAGGATCGTAACTCGGATCACAAGATCTTAGAGTGATAGCTAACATGCAAAATATATAAAATGTACATGTATATAACAAATTAATTGTAAAACAAACACTCCCTCCCTCTCGCAATGAAGATACACTTTCCTTTCTCATTTTTCCAAAAATAAACGTTACACGTCTCTCATTTCATCTTTAGGAAAGAAACATATGGTGCATATCATTTCTCTATCTATTTCAACACTTCTCTTAAACTCCTTTTAAGCTCATAAACTCCTTTTAAGCTCAGTGAAGACAAAGCATGAATTTCATTGTGTCAAAGCATAAACTTCACTGTGTGGGACGGAGGGGTAGTTATTTAATCTTCCTCTTAACATGTAAAGCCTAAGGATGAGAATATGTTGAATAAGTAACTAAAATTAGTTATCAAAAAACAGGACAGTGTTGTCAAGAACATGCTTCCATCAAAACAACTGCTAGTGTTTGTGAATAATTAAAGTTCACAAATTCTGAAGGATAAAGGCTTAACACAGAGGATGAACAGTAATTAAAAATAGTAAAAGGCTGAATAAATTAGCTTTAAAATTAATAAAAGCCGCATGTATCTGAAGCGTGAAGCGGGACACCTCTTGCTCTTTCTTCATTGTGCCTCTCAATTTTTTCCTACGCCGCTAATGGCCTTCAACTCGACCCACTGCCTATTTCCGACGATCAGAAGGCAGCTCGATCCGGCAATTGAATATTTGAATGTAAGGGTTTTATGGATTCTTTCGATTCGGTTTCTTTTACTGTCGATTTGTCTTGAGCGTAATGCAGCATAAGCTTGCTCGGAGCTAAAGTGATGTGGATGCATAATATAAAAATAATTAAAGCTTTCTTACTACTCCGTATTAATTTGTATCCCAACACTTTGTGTCAGTCTAAATTTTTGTTAAATGCACCAACACTTTGTTTAAGTGTGAACCATCAAAATGTTGGTGCATACATTTGGTATACAAATGAGGTACAAATTTTGAGGTACATGTAGCATACTCCTTATAAAAATTTTATTTAACTAGTTTTTTTAACCCTACTACGCACGAGGCAGAATGAGATTATTGCCCATTATAAAAAATTCCTTCAAATTTTTAAGATTATATTCTTTTGAATCCTACACTGCAATTCTTTGGATCTATTTGGTTGAAAGAAAAACACTTTTCTAGAAAATTATAATTTTACTTTCGAATGTTATGTTACAAAAGTGATAGGAAATCATTTCTTTAGAAATTAGAATAATATTTTCTCAAAAAGATGAAAATGACTTTTGTTTGTTTTGAATCAAAGTTTATTTTTTCCTCAACCCTCAAATACTCTAATTCCTTGGTTGAGTTTATTATTATTATTATTATTATTATTATTATTATTATTATTATTATTATTATTATTATTATTATTATTATTATTATTATTATTATTATTATCATCATCATCATTACAACTACTATTATCAAAACGGCTCTAGAGCCACTTGCTCTAGAGTGGGGTTTCTCGGTGTGTTTCGGATATGAACTATTAATTTTGTAAACGGTGCAGCGTAGATACTTCTATTGAAGCTAGTATCATCTGGAACTACTTAAAGTGAATGGATGTAGAACTTCTGTGTATTATTAGTATACGAAAATAATAATTCTTTTACGTGCGAATGCATATACAACGAATAAACTATAATATTTTTCACCCAAATTTATAAAAACAAAAATGTTTAACTTTAGATGGAGAAAGTATATGTTTTTTTTAATTTTGTTTTTATTTCAAATACAAACCAATTTGAATTTTAAAACATTATATAGAAGAGTTATGTATGAAAAAAGCTAAAAACAATTGATAATATGCATTGATGCACATCAACTCATGTTGATTGGATTGTGTATCAATGCCCCATTTTTAATGAAAAAATAAATAGAAAATAATACGAATCGATGTGGTGCATGTACAATCTTTTGAAATGATACACATTTTTTAGAGGAAGGTTCCAATGACATTAACCCCCATGTCATCCTATGACATGAGCTTCATTTGAGGTTCCTACGGTACGCCGTTTGAAAAATTGATTGTTCATACCCCCCTAACCCCCCGGTAAATCACCCCAACTCGGACCGACCCGAAGCAACCCCTCCTCCCCCGTCAATTGCACCCCACGAGATGTAGTTGACTTTAGAGTCAAAATTTGACTCCAAAGTCAACTACATCTAATGGGGTGCAATTGACGGGGGAGGAGGGGTTGATTCGGGTCGGTCCGAGTTGGGGTGATTTACCGGGGGGTTAGGTGGGGTATGAACAATCAATTTTTCGAACGGAGCACCGTAGGGACCTCGGGTCATCCTATGACATTGATTTCCAATGTCATGAGAACCGTGGTGCATTTTTTAATCAGCTTTGAAAACAAATGAGATATTCATACCTTTTTTTTCAAACCATTTAGAGCGCTCGAACTATTTTGATAAATTCTATAGTCACGATTTGTAATGTAAATACATTTTTACTCATATATTAAGAATAAAAATAAAAAAAATTTATTTTAATATATTTTTAATGTTTTTCACTCTGACTTTATTCTTTTTCCCTTCTAAATATTAGATTATTAGGTGCATATAAAATTTTCTAAATAACAATCATTTTTTAATGTAAATCACGTGGTACACAAGCCATTTTCTCGCAATCGACCCCATCTAAACATTTTTCAAGTCATCAATGAAGCAATCCTTCTAGACGGGAAGCCGATCCACACGACTCCCCTCCAGCCTTCCCCCCCATATATTCAAACTTTCAAGTTAGGTCATCTCCCCTCCCCCCGTAGAAGCCTCTCGATCCTCTTTACCATCAATTTTTTGGTCCATTCAAAAGCTCAATTCTGCATATAAATACCCTTCTCACCAACCCTTTTCCCTCTCACCCTCAAATTAAAGCTCCAATTTGTTCTTCTGTTTCATAATAAATCTCCATCCCAAAAGCCAAAAAAGAGAACTGAATAAGAGCAGATGGGGACACTGGTTGGGCATGTGGCACCTGGTTTTGGTTTCTTTGCAATTGGGCTGTGGCACCTGCTAAACCACATAAGGGTCCATGCTGGAAACCCAAAGCCAGCAACCTACACCTCCCTCCCATGGTTCCCAACCCCAAGAATCAGATATTTGGAGCTTTTCTTCATCATCTCTGGCTGCTTGGCCTCCATAGCCATGGAGCTCTTCATAGGCCCCGAAAGGCACCAGCCCTTCGACACCGATGGGACCATACCCTCCGACCATCTCCACAACTTTGAGCACTCAAACATCTCCATGGCCTTCCTTGCATACGCCGTCCTCTGCATAGTCCTGGACAGGACATCTGCCCCTGCCCGGGACGCCATGTCCTATTTCCTTGGGGCAGTTGCCTTCGGCCAGCAGCTCCTCCTTTTCCACCTCCACTCTGCTGACCATATGGGGGTTGAAGGGCAGTACCACTGGCTGCTCCAGATTGTGGTCTTTGTGTCCTTAGCCACCACACTCTTATCCATTCCCTTCCCCAACAGCTTCATCAACGCCTTTGTGAGGTCCTACAGCATACTCCTTCAAGGGGTTTGGTTTATGGTCATGGGGTTCATGCTGTGGACCCCGGGCCTCGTCCCGAAGGGCTGCTTCATCAGCTCGGAGGACGGGCACCAAGTGGTGAGATGCCATAGCCACCAGGCGCTTGAGCGCGCCAAGTCCCTCGTCAACATCCAGTTCAGCTGGTACGTGATTGGAGTGACCGGTTTCGCCGTCTCGTTTTACGTGGTGCTTGTCGGGTTGTTATATGGCCATCATGAAGGGGAGTACCAATCTTTATTTGATGATGGCCAAGAAGAGGTAATTGCTGTGATGGAGGAGGACATTGAGTCTCAGAAGGGACGCAAAAATGGGGGTCCAAAGAGCTTTCTTGAAGCTGATCAGAAGATGTTTGCTTCATCAGAGATGGAAAGGTAGAAAGAGTGCTTATTAGCCTAGCTATGGTACTTGCGTACAAAAGATGAACAGATTGAAGAAAATTACTCCGTTCAAGAACTGTTTATTATTAGCCTATTAGATAAGAATGAGGAAGAAAAAACACATACTCCGTAGTCCGTTCTATTTGTTTGTATAAACGGTAGAGAAAGAAATGGATTATAATGATGTTATTTTATTACTTTGAAGGTATGGTTCGGGTGACATGAACTCCCATGACCCTCGATTAGGGTATCTATGATGCTCCGTTCGAAAAATTGATAGTTCTTACCCCCTAACCCTCGGTAAACTCTCCACCCCTGGCCCGGCCCAAACACACCCCCGCACCCCGTCAATTGCATGTGGCAAGATTTAGTTGACTTTGGAATAAAAATTTGACTCCAAAGTCAACTAAATCTCGCGGCATGCAATTGACGGGATGCGGGGGTGTGTTTGGGCCGGGCCAGGGTGGAGGGTTTACCAGGGGGTTAGGAGGAATAAATACCACATAACTTCAAAATGAGTACTACATGGTTATACCTTACTTCCAATATAGCCGGTTGTACCATATACATACTCATCTAGACCCATGCGTGCACACCAATTTTTACAATATTATATTTTGTATAAACCGATTACTTTCTCGATATTCTACTAATTTGTATTTCACCTTTGTTAGTTTTATTACGGAGTACTACGGAGTGTTATTTTAAATAGTTGTACTGCGCATAAAACTTTATTATTTAAAAAAAGTTATATAAAGTTGTAAGACTCTTCACATTTAAATCATTTATTATTTTTCAAAAAACAAATACTACTCCGTAATATGTATGAATCTCAATTCATGTGCATTTTTATCCTTTGACATTTTTATTGTCTATATTTATAGCACAGACAAATTTGAATTTTATTTATAGCACAGACAAATTCTAGAAATGTATAAACTTTGGTAAATTAGGATAATACAAGTACCCTGTTGGGTACTCGGGGAGGCTTGGTCATAGTCCAAGTGGATGAGCCTTAAATCAAATCATTCCATTCATTAATAGAATGACTTTTTTCATATTCAATGGAATGACTTTTCAGTTGATAATTAATAGAATGACTTTTTTCATTTTCAATGGAATGACTTTTCAGTTGATATCTCTCAACAAGCAACAAAAAGAAGAGAGGATGGAAGGTGGCAATGTGAAACCCAAAATTACCTCCTAGATGACTGAACACACTAATCAATTGTGATTGCATTATCTGGTGTACCCCCATCAATCTGTGCGTCGAGTTCCACTGGGAAGTCGCCTCTCAGTATCTGAGCTTTAAACTTTACGAAAACCTGGCTGCTCTCCATCACCTCAAGAATCAACGCATCTCCGGGTCCCAGATTATTGTCGTCCAAAAAGCGTCTCCATGTTTGAGTGTCCAGGCTTTTCTTGGTCTTGCTTCCGTACAGAGTGGTTTCCCAAGTGTTTTTCCCATGCATGATCACTGCTTCAACAGTTCCATTAGGGAGATCAGAGTACAGTCTGGGTGGAAAGACCTAAAGGCATCATCAAAGAAACACCTGAATTGCCTCAAAGATGAACATTCAAATTTTTATAAAAATATTGAGAAAGAACTTCAATCTTTTACGTGTTTCCGGGCCTTGAGAATTCACACAAGTTTAAACCAAGTCAATGCAGTGTATCCCACTCAAGAGAACGGACATTGGGGGGAGTGGAGGAAGATGATATCTATATTAGATTAGAACAAGTGTTCAAATGGCTGATCTATAATGTGTACTGACCATTTGAGATAAGGGTTTATTTTCTGAGATGACATGATCAAAAAAAGGTTTTCCAGAAAGAGGCTCAATGGGCACATCCTCAAACTCGGTCTTTTTTGCTGCCGTGCTTCTTAGATTTCTTCTCATTTGGTAAACTTTCCCAGCCAATGAGTGGTTTCTCCTGTTACACATAGTCAGTATTGCAGTGAGTAGTAACATAATAAAGATTACTCTCTTCCAATCTGATATAAATGCGTATTTCACGCCCCAAGTATCTGACCTCACTGTCTTTTATCCAAACTGTAAAAAACACAACAATTTCTTGGCAAAAAAAAAGCAGATATCCTTCAATGAAATTTCTACAACGTAGACACGCTCTCACTAGACTGCAGAGCACAGCATATGAGCATACCATTCTTGCAATATGGGAAAATGTCAGAGCAAGTGATTGCGTAAAGGGCAAATTAACCAAGCACAGAATTTAGTCCTACCCTGCCAAATATTTTCTTTCCACTAACAGAAGGGGAAGCAATTTAAAAAGCAAAACAAACCAAACATAAAAGAGAACAGCAGCAAACATATTTATAATTAGCCTGCACTAAGATTGATAATTAGGGTGTTGCTGAATCCACTCCGCTTTTTGCTATCCACGCCGTTTATAAAAAATGGACAACTTTATCCCTAAATTGTAAAAACAAGGAAACTCAACATGTGGACTAACTTAAGGGTAAAATTGGACATTCGTTATAAATGCGGTGGATTAAGCAACACCCTAATAATTATTTTGTTTGCGAATAGTAAACAAACATCACTTCTCTTGACATGGTTGCTCTAGGCCAAAGCTCCAATACTCTTTTTATTGTTGCCAACATAGCTGTACTCGTCCCTTTTTCGTAATGGAGCAGCCCAAGAAGAAAAAACATGGGAATGGGTTCGATGACAGAGGAAGGGATTCAAGGAATGAGTTTATTGCTAAATTTCTTCTAAATGCATGGGTCTGCTTTACAGATGTGCTGAACTTAAAAAAATCCTTGTATTTGTGATGTTCGACGAAATATAAACCTGTTTGCTGTTGTTCTATTTTGTTTTTTTTTGTTTTTTTGCATTTTTAAATTGCATCCTTTTCCATTCTTGGAAAGAACATTTCAGCAAGTATAATAGTCTATTCATGACAGAAACATCTAATAATTTTGTTTTGTTAATAGTGCAAAGGAAAACTCTTTTGTCTAACACGTTTCACATCACAATTAACTACGAGTAAATTCTTGTTTCCGGGCATTTGGTAAGGTTGGAAGTTGAGCTAGCCAAGACTAAAGATGGAGAATAGAAAGTTATTCAGAATTAGTAATCAAGAGAGGTTAAACGCAGTAGAAGAAGATATGAATGATAACACCTATTTAAAGAGGTCTGTAAACTATTCACAAATGACAAACATAACAGAAAGAAAGGCAATTATATTTCCCAACCTCTGCAAATCAACTTCAATGGCAGATTGTGTCTGTAAAACTAAAAGACTCCGGTGCTGCGCAACAAATTAAAAGTAAAACATAGCGTAATTTTCACGATGAGACAGCTAACTGAGCTAAGCGAAACCCTAGAAAGCGAGGCTTTAAGAAAACCATAGCTAGGGTAATGGAAATGGTTCCTAGTTTACAGGGACATACCTGGAGCTTTTAGGAGAATGGAGGCGGGTGAAAAGGCCTTAATCTAAGAAGAAAACAGAACAAAGAGAATAAAAGCTCCAGGGATTTGAATTTTAGAGGATGGCCGGGTGAGTGAGTAGTGCACAATAAAGAGTTAGAAAAATGCATTTGACCGAGAGTCTAACAAGGTCTATTAATGGAAAAGGCGAGAATTTACCTAAATAGACTTTCTCTATATAGCATTACATGTGTTTTTTTTCAATGTAGCATTTTTAGTTATTATCCATTAGTCATTATTCTAAGTAAATGTTACCTATCACTAGACATTATTAAGTGTTATTTAGAGAATAAAACAGTTTAAGTACTATTTAAGGAAATGACTTAAGTTTTAATACTATTTAGTACAAATATTTCATTATCCAAATCCTAATCGTTAGACTACAAATACTATTTGTTATTGTTGTTGTTATTATTCTTAATATATTCATAATATGAATAAAATTCGAGCACATGAATAGTATACATGTCATTTAATTAGGGAATTAGAGAGTCGTATAATTATTGTTTTTTATTTAAAATATTGATGTTTTACCCAGGTCAATTTAGATTAATAGAATATCTCTGATTTTTGGAATATAGTTTCGTGTCATGTAAATTTTAAAAAAAATACCACTAAAATTACACTCCATATTATTTATATTCAAATGGAAGAAAAAATAATTATGAGTCTGAATCACCAAATAATGATATGAGAAAAATAAAAATTGAAATAATTTATAAACTAGAAGAAACTGGAAAAACTGGAATGAAAAAACTCGATAAAACTTAAAAAAATTGAACAAATTAAAAGAAACTAGAAGTTAAAAGTTTAAACTATAAAGATCAAGCTTTTAAAGTGATTAAAATATCACTCACTATTTTTATTGTATGTAGTCAGCTTTATTTTATATTTTGTTTTATTTTACTTTCTCCATTGCGAAACTAAATGAATTATTTGATTCACAAAATTTAAGAAAAAGTCTATCGAAAAGTAAAATTTTGATAGATAGAATATATTTGATAGAGAGATTTGTTGAAAGCATAGTTTTAAAAACGGTACCGATGATCGAACTGGTCGAATCAATGGTTCAAGTAATCGAACCAGTGGTTTAAACATATTTTATATAAATATAAATACGAATATATATATATATCAATCCTAGCAAAAGGGATAGTGACACAGACTATCACACTCTCTTTCAATGCCCCTACGCTAAACCCATTTGGAGCTACTTCGAATGGATTTTCAAAATACCGTGGCAAGCAACACACGGTGTGAGAGCCTACCTCCACAAATGGTGGACAGAATACCATAACCAAACTCTAGAAGGATGGCTCAAAGGTATCATACCTGGAATCATCTCCCACCAAATTTGCAAGGAAAGAAACCGGCGCATCCATGAAAACATCAGCAAAGACTCGGGGAGACTACTTCAAGACTGTATTGCCCAAGTACAGGAGTGGGTTCTTGGAAGGGCTCCTTCAAAGCTTAAGTACTTCGACGCCTGGAGACTTCCTCCTGAACTTATGCTCTCGCAGCAAAGGAACCCCACCCTTAGAATCCATAGATGGACCAACACCTCGGACAGCGGATTACACCTCTCCACAGATGTAGCAGTCAATCAAAATTACGGGGTGGCAAGTGCAGTTTTACGCAGAGGAAATGGCACTTTCATTGCAGCGGGAACATGGAAGATTGAAGAAACAACTGCCTTACAAGGTGAGGCAAAAGCTTTAGCCATTGGCATGCAATGGGCTGCACATTTTGGAAGATATATTTGGGCCAACACTGACTGCAAAAGTCTAGCCAAGTCAATTTCTAGTCGCAAAAACCCGGGAGTCAACCATGAACTTTGGACAACTCTCTTCCATGCTTTCTCACATTCGGGTCAAAAGATCTCCTACATACCTCGAGAGGGAAATATGGGAGCCCATCATTTGGCCAAATGGGCCAGCCAACATAACCTTTTTACTCCTTGTATTTCTTTTTTCATTGCTCCCCCACATGTTCAGGGAGCAATCACAGCTGATGTAATGCTTCCTTTCTTTCGCTAATCAATAAAAAGCTAGCTTCATTAAAAAAAAATATCAATCCTATTTTTAAATGTTAAGAATTTTAGTTTTAACAAAAAAGAAAATTTTTAATGCATATTAATTCTTTTAAATATAAAGTATATATATTACTTGAAACAAATATCTAACAAAAAATTACTTTTGTTCAATTGGTGGGTACCTTGTATCATGTATAAGAGGTCAAAAGTTTGAATACTAGGGAGTAAGGTTTTTGGCCAATTTTCGTAAAAAAAGAAAACTGGTTTGACCGATTGAACCGGCTGGTTCGAACTGGTTCGGTGCATGAGGCCGTCCAAAGGACCGGACCGATTTAACCTCCAGAGTCCGGTCCGAACCGGACGGTCCGGTCCAATTTTTAAAACTATGTTTGAAAGCCACCTATTTTATTTTTTATTAATTTAATTAATCTAGTGACATTTTTATAACTTTGAATGCTTCAGTGGCATTAAATAAACAAAAAAATTATAGCGTCAAATGTGACAAAACCGAATAATAGATCATTTTTGTATTTGCATTCCTAAAATTAATATGCCAAACTTTTTAGAACATATTAATATACTAACTTAAGAGAGGATAAGTTAATCAAATATTTGTGACAGAAATTTTATTACTTTAAATATTAATTCAATACTTTGTATGTGACAAGAGTAGTTAACCCATATGATGTCTTGACCCGAAGTCTAGTTCTATACATGTACTATTTTATTTCCTCTAAAAGTACTCAGCATATTAATTCCCCTTCAAAAATCAAACAAAGAAGACTTCCAAACTCGTCCTAACTTTTGCATTTAAATACCTTTATCCAGTACTCGAGAGACACGACACTCGGTCATCGGCTTGTCGTCCTTCGCTTTGTGACTCTTCCGACGTGCATTTTTTTGGTGCATTTGGTTCCGGTTGAGTTTCTGGTACTGACTCTGGCTCCTCGACATTTACCCGAGTTTTGCAAATCGAACATCGACAGATTATTTCCGTACGATTGAAAAATCCACATCACTTGCTCGTTTGGCTCGAGACCGGACGAAGGAACGTTAAAATTGAAAGGATTCATGTTGAAAAAAATTGAAGATTTTTTTAATTTGAAGAAGAAAGAGAGATAGGGAGATGTGTCTGTTTGATTCTTAAAAAATGAATGGAATTTATAGTATTGAAAATAATTGTTTTTAAAATAGCCCAACAGCTAATTTGGCCGTCTGGGCCATGAATTCCACGCACAACGGCTCCTCCTCCTCGTCAAACGTTTAACGCATTAGGGGTGACGCCCTAATAACGCCGCAGGGGAGTAGTGTTTGACGGGGCGTTAAACGCAGGGTTACGCCCCCCGGCGTCATCCCCATTTCCATTGCTCTTACCGCAAAGGATAAGATCATTTAAGAAGAGAGAAACTATTAAAGGACTTGTAGATGCTAGCGTAAACTTAAGTCAATAATTTATTTATGAGTTAATTCTATGAGTAGTGTTATCTTTCCTTAAATAATCGTTTTTTGATTTTCTGTCATATTGGTGTTAAGTTGAATGTTAAAAATGTAATTTTCACAATGATCATACATCTTATTTGTCATGCAGAATTTCAGAGGCTGCTCTTGATGCTTTGTTTATGTCATGCAGAATTTCAGAGGCTGCTCCTGATGCTTTGTTTGTGAATCACACAGTTATTGTCTACTACAACCATAGTCTAAAAAAGTGATCTTTCGTCGAAGCCCTAGTCTACAACCATTGTCATTGTTGTGTTGTCGTCTAACCGACATCAAAATACACACTGGACATATAGTTAATGTCAAATTACATTTTTGGCTCTCAAATTAACACCAATATGACCGAAAGTTGAAAAAAGACTATTTGTAGAAAGATATTCATAAAAGAAGAATCATGTGCGTAATATTTAATAATAGAAGACTAAATATGAAACGCTCCTTTATAAAGCACTAGTTATACAATAAACTTTTTTTTTATAGAACAATTAGGGAGTATATCAATGTTCAGAACATTAGCAATGTCAGGGTAAAAATGAAATGACACGCGGTGACATGGAATATTTCAACCAATAAAAAATAATCCAATCATCATGTGACAAGTGAGTGGAGTATCGTACAGTGTCAAGTCATTGTTTTTGTCTATTTTTTGCATTTTTAATGATTTTTAATTACCAAAAATTATTTTACACATCCATTTTATTATTAAAATATGTCTACTTCTTTAAAAAAATGTTTCTTTTTAAAAATTAAAAATATTAAAAGAATTGATAAGTACGGAGTAAAAAAATAAGAGAGCTTTGCACATGGAATAAAAATCTATGTGAAATGACATTGAAATACCATGGTGAATCACTCTATTCTTAAAAGCAGGGGAATTATTTTCCCACCCAATGCACTCATCTCCTGCACCGTCGATATCAAGGAACAAACAAGATCTACGGCTATGATTGGTTGTATAATATTACCTATTTAGAATGATAAATATAATTAAAAGAAATTTTGCATGTATAATCACTCTATTCTGATCAAAAAGGAAGGGAGTAATTTGTTTCCTAACTAATTACGCCTAATTACTTGATTGTGATAAAAAAGGAAGGGGCGGTGCAGGAGATTTTTTTATATTTTGTTTCCTTTTTAAATAGGTAAATATTTACGCCTAATTATTACTATTATTATTATAATTACTTGGAATAATTTACGGCTGATTATTTTTTCAAAAAGTAATTATTTATGCCTAATTAAATAGGTAATTGTTTACTCAATCACTCTATTCTTAAAAGGAAATACATTTAAGAATAATAGAATGATAAATTAAAGGAAATTTCGCATGCATAATTACTTAATTCTGATAAAAAAGGAAGGGACTAATTTCGCAAACAAGATCTACGTTGTTTCCTTTTTAAAATAATTTCGCATGCATAATTACTTAATTACTCTATTCTTATTTAGAATGATAAATTAAAGAAAATTTTGCATGCCTAATATATTTTCTAAAAAGGAAACAAAATATAAAAAATATTACTTATATAAACTTCTTTTCTAATACCAAACTTTTTTATAAAATTGGAATTGATATAATAAAAAAAATGATTACCATTCAACTAAAAATAATATTTGTCCATAAAAGGTAATAATCACGTTATGGTGTAAATTTTTTAATCAATGCATTAAATTTACAGTTTTGTAATTTATATAATTTCCAATTAAGAAACAAACCATTTTTATCATACAAACCATTTGTTTCCTTTTCCAATTTAGAAACAAACCATTTTAATCATACAAACCATTTGTTTTCTTTACGGAAAGAAATCAAATCTAAAAGAAATGTCAAAGTAATACATAGAAATGGTGATACATATAGTAAGTGTTGATTAAATAAATGATAATTAAATCATAAATCACCGTGTAATAAGAATAGATCATGTATTACCGTATAACAAGAATAATAATATTAATATATCGTGTAATAATATTGCCGTATTTAATCATTATTAATTTATTACCATGTAAGAATAATGATAATAATATACTGTGTAATAAAATTACCGTACTTAGTCATTATTATCGTCTAATAATTCTAATCTAAGAAGCTTTCAATTTAAAAATGTTTTCATTTAGAGAACATGGCCAAACTTAAAATTACCATATTTAATCATTATTAATTTATTACGGTGTGATTATGTTAAGAAAATAAGCTTTCAATTTAATTATGTTTCCATTTAGAGATTCAGTGCCAAATATTTTATGAAGAAATTTAAATATATAATTTTATGCATTTAAGAAAGGCACAATTAAAAAAATCAAAATAAAAAAATAATAAAAGAAATTAAATATAAAAAAATGTCAAAGTAATACATAGAAATTGTGGCACATATGTTAAGTGTTGAATATAGAAATAATAACTAAATCATAAATTACTTTGTAGCAAGAATAAATCTTGTATTATCATGTAGAAAAAATAATAATACTAATATATCGTGCAATAATATTAATGTATTTAATCATTATTAATTTATTATCGTGAAAGAATAATAATAATAATAATAATAATAATAATAATAATAATAATAATAATAATAATAATATACCGTGTAATAATATTATCGTACTTAGTTATTATTATCGTGTAATAATTCTAACCAAATAAGCTTTCAATTTAATAATGTTTCCATTTAGAGATCCAGGCCCAAACGTTTTATGGAGACGTCGTTTTAAGAGGTGTGCCTTTAATACATGGAAACGTATTGAATAATATATACCTTTATATGTTGAACAATCAACCACTAATTAATAACTTACCCGAAAAAAAATTAGATGCATGGAAATAGAAAAATACTTTAATTTTTTCATACTTTAAATACAGTCATTCTCAATCACTTTTCGTAATTAGTCTCTTTCAAATTTTTTGAATGACTTACACTCTCTTGAGTTCTTAAATAAGATTCATGCTTTCGGAATAGAAAATCATGAAGAAGTCTTTAAATAAATAAATGTTTTAAAAGTTTGATATATAAAAATTATACGAGTAATGTAGTTTATAAAGAAGTCCTTCGTTATTTGTAAAACAATTAACTTTTGTACCTTAAAATAATAAAATCTTTATATTCTACTCCCTCCGTTCCGAAAGAAGTTCTCTTATTGACTTTTTGGAAAATTAAGGAAGTGATATTTTGGTGTTGACTTTCCAAAAACACCCTTGATAGATGTGATTGATAAAAGTAAGATGTGATAGATAGATTATTAGTAAAAAAGTATGATGTGATAGGTAAGGTATGAAAAAGTAAGGGGTAAAAGTAGTTTTTAATAGAAAAAAGAAGGAGTTTGTGGTACAAAGAAAAAATGAAAGGGGAAGATGTTTCAGGGACGGAAGGAGTATTAGATAAGAAATTGTATCATTCAAAAATGATCTTAATTTAGTAATATAAGTATGACCCGTGTAATGCACGGAAGTGATGCTAGTTGAGTAAATGACGATGGAATACCATGATTTGGGTGATATTTGGAAGTAAGATATTGCCTTGGCATTGTAAATAAAAACAGAGACGCAACTCCCCAAAGCAATTGATCCTAAAGAAGAGCAATTCTAGGGGTACACCAAAGGTGTACCCCATTTGTACCCCAACCCTTACTCTACCACTCATTTTTACCCCATTTTTATTTATTTAAATTTTTTTTAATTTTTTGCCTATTTTTGTGGTAATGGAAGGGGGTGTGGGATAAATGGGATTCAAAGAAGAGGAAGGTGTTTCCCCAAAGAAACATGTCGGAAACCGAAAAGCAGTGTCCATTTCAGCACAAAATGAACGAAATTCCTTCTCTGTTGCATCAATCAATATTACCAGCCATTATCACTTCCCTGTTGTTGTTCTTATGGTTTCTCACAAAATCCCTCCACAAACCCAGTAAAACCAAGAACTTACCCCCATCCCCACCCAAGTTGCCGGTCATCGGAAACCTCCACCAGCTGGGCTCCCTGCCCCACCGCAAACTCCGATCCCTGGCCCAAAAACACGGCCCCCTCATGCTTCTTCACTTCGGCAAGGTGCCCGCCCTAATCGTTTCGTCCGCCGATGCTGCCCGGGAAGTCATGAAAACCCACGACCTGGCTTTCGCCAACCGACCCGAATCGATCGTGACCAAGCGGCTTCTGTACGACGGCAAAGACGTCTCCGTCGCCCCCTACGGCGAGTACTGGCGGCAGCTGAAGAGCGTCTGCGTGCTTCAGCTTTTGAGCAACAAAAAGGTCCAGTCTTTCCATCACATCAGAGAGGAAGAAACGGCCCTCTTGACCAACAGGATCGAAGAACAATCCTCGGATCGGGTGAACTTGTCCGAGATGTTTGTGGAGCTGACCAACAACGTTGTCTGTAGATCTGCATTTGGCAGGAAATATAGCAGTGAGGGGCAAATTGGGAAGCGTTTCATTCTGCTGTTGAATGAATTCCTTGTCCTGCTCTCCCATATCAGTGTTGGGGATTTCATCCCGTGGCTGCAGTGGATTGACCGCGTCACTGGTTTCGATGCTAGAGTGGAGAAGAATGTCAAAGCCTTGGATGATTTTCTGGAAAGAGTGATTTCGGAACGCGTGGAAGGAGGGATATATAGGGAGAACTTTGTTGATGTTTTGCTAGATATTAACCGGGATAGCAATGCTACCGGTCTCTCAATTGACAGAGATAGTATCAAAGCAATAATCTTGGCAAGTGATTTCCCCCTCTTCTGAAACAGTTTATCATTGTAACCTTTGTCAAGAAAACCCTACTCTACCAAAAGCTCAAGCTTGTTGTTGTAGGCTAAGGTTTTATATTCTCACTTCGAACCCGTGACCTCTTATTCAACAAGACTTTGATACCATGTCAAGGAATCAACTCAACCAGAAATTCAAGCTTGTGGTTGTAGGCCGAAGAAAGGTTTTATGTTCTAACAACCTCTTTCTGATTGGGTGCAACTTTAACTTGCAGGATGTATTTGCGGCTGGAACTGATACCACAGCTACTGTTCTGGAATGGGCAATGGCCGAGCTCATAAGGCACCCCGTGGTTATGGGGAAATTGCAAGCTGAAGTGAGAGGAGCCATGGGAAACAAACAGGACATGACAGAGAGGGACATAGAGAAAATGCAATATCTGAAAGCCGTGATCAAAGAAACTCTTCGCCTTCACATGCCAATTCCTATGCTGGTCCCACGAACAGCGAGGGAAGATGTGAAAATAATGGGATACGACATTGCAGCAGGGACATTGGTGATGGTTAATGCTTGGGCTATTGGGAGGGATCCTGCGCTGTGGGATGAACCAGACAGGTTCCAGCCTGAGAGGTTCTTGAAGTCTTCGATAGACTTCAAAGGACAGGATTTTGAGCTCATCCCGTTCGGGGCAGGGAGAAGAGGCTGCCCTGGGATTGCATTTGCCATGGCTACCAACGAGTTTGTGCTGGCTAATCTTGTGAACAAGTTCGACTGGGAATTGCCCGGAGGGACAAAAGTGGAAGATTTGGACATGACTGAGCGGCCCGGGGCTGCCATCCGTAGAGCCGTTCCTCTTCTTGCAGTTGCCTCCCGGTGTACTAATGTGTTGTGTAATACTCCTACCCACAAGGGTTACTGGCCTGGTGAAAGTTAAGCATATGAAATATGGCATGTCTAAAGATGGACATCTAATTACTAACTAGAGTGAGGTGTGCAACTGTTTACTACTTTGCAAATGTAGTCATTGTGCTTTTTTTGAATCATTGGATGGATCATCCAACATCACTTGTACCTAGAAATGTTTCTAATATATGAACTTTGTATCTTTAGTTGTGTCTTTTTCTATTTTGCCTACTTTTTCATCTAGAGGACTTGTATGGTTAGAGATGGTCATGAGATAGAGTAAAAAATGATGTGTTGCCATCTGGGAAGAGTAAAAAAATTTATCATAAAATTTAAATATGACTTTTATGGTTGGGCTAGAGTTCAATCAAATTCGATCAGCTCAGGTATCCATTTGGACATCACGATCTAGAGTAAGAGCCTGTTCTATAGGACTAGAAAAAAAGAATTACACGTTCGAAGAAATTGGAAAAAATTCAAAAAAAAAAAAAACTTTAAAAAACTAGAAAAACATGAAAGAAACTGGAAAACATGGTAGAAATTGGAAAATATGGAAGAAACTGGAACAAATTAGAAAAAAACTAAAAAAAACTTGAAAAGTTTATTTAAGTGTACATTACATAGCATTCTTATTATAATTGTTATTGTTGTTGTTGTTCTTTTTATTGTTATTATAATAATTATTATTATTACTATTATTATTATAACTATTATTATTATTACTACTACTATTATTATTATATTTATAATAGATAAAGAAAGTGAATAAAAATTCGACCACGTAAATAGTGTACTTTTCATTTAATTAGGAACAGAGAGAATAATACAATTATTATTTTTTAATTTAAAATTTTGATATTTTTCCCAGGTTAATTTAGATTAATAAAATATCCATAAATTTTGGAACATAGTTTAGTGTCCTGTAAATTAAAAAACCTTTTTCCCAATATAATTGTACTTTGTATTATTTATATAAAAAATGGAAGGAAAAATAACAATGAGTGGAATCACAAAATATTGACATAGGAAAAATAAAAATTGAAAAATTGGAATAATTTATAGACTATAGTAATAATAATAATAATAATACACGAAAAACATTGGATTAGATAAGTTACTTGGAAATATTAGTGTATTTCCATCCGATTAGATATATATCCGCACCCATGGTTGGAATGACTTAAAAAAGTTATGGTTTTGCATTTGTTCACTGTTTGCACTTCGTTGGTGCCTAATTATTATTTTTGATGTTTTACTTGTGAATTAAACAAGAATAACTACAATTTGAAACTAATTTGAATTTTATAAATTCAAAATTTGAAAAGATTTAGAATATATTTGATTTTAAGGAAATGGGGTTCTCTATTGTAACGTGTTTTTAAGTTTGGATTCAAACATTAATTATAATTTTCATGTTAATTTGATAAACCCATTAATTAGAAAGAATTCCAATTAATATTTGATTTTTAAGAAATAGGCTTCTCTATTGTAGTGTTTTTTTAATTTTTCTAAATCTTTACATTCTATGTAGAAAAACAACAGAGGGCAACCCTTAATTACTTCCTAAAGGGTGACACTACAATTCAGTGCAGGTTGATGAGAGTAGCAAGTGTCAAAGGCAATCCAGCCATGTGCGGCTGCTGAATGAACAATGCACTGTAAAATACTCCCTCCGTCTCCCATAGATCTTTTCAATAGTCCTTTTTTTGTTCACAATAGATCTTTTCATTTCATTTTTTAACAATTAAAATACCACAACTACCCCCACTTACTTTATTTATTACACCTCACCCACTTCATTTAATACACTCCACCCATTTTCATTAAGGGTATTATGGTAAACTTTCATCTTTTTCAACTCTCCTTAAAAACCACCAAAAGTCAAAATGAGAACATTTCAGGGGACTCGGAGGGAGTATAAATCAGTTGAATCTTCAACAACTTTTTCTTAATTTAACCTTTTCATCCATCCATCCATCCGATTGGTATGTATCCTAACGCCACATTTATCCCTTAATTAGTGTATTTTCACTACTCCTATCCGTACATTTCTACTCACATCCGTCGATCAGTTTTATGCATCTGTTTTCTACTGTCTTCGATGAGTATCCATATCGATTGTAGACAGGCATCCATTCGATCGATCAATTTACAGTAGACAAATGAGTGGTGTGCAGTAGGCAACTAGGGGGTAGGGGGTACATGTCGACGAGGATTGAAGAATTGTGGTGGAAGATGCAAATATTAAATTAAGGGTATTGGTGTTATTTTGTCCTTCATATTGGTATGTGTGCTGAATTGAAAGTGGAAAAAAAACTTCGAGATGGAGGGAGTATATGACTAATTGCCCCAAATTGGCAATCCGGGTGGGCAGTAGCGGGAGAAAATTCGAGAAATGTTTAGGAGATGGTTAAGATGATATGAACAATCAATTTTACAATTGGAGCACCGTAGGTCTTTCAATCGAAATTGTGTCATTTTCATTGGTGTGACAACCGATCGAATGGATGTGTGTTGACAATTGATATGGATGCTCATCACAGACAATAAAAAATAGATGCATATAACCGATCGGATGGGACTAGAAAAGTGCGAGCCGGAGTAGTGAAAATACCCTAATTAATGGATACAATATTGCATTAAGGTATATACTGATCGGATGGATGGATGGAAAGGTTATATTAAGAAAAAGTTGATGAAGATTCAAGTGAGTTATATCAAATCAATGATCCAGGCCAGCAGTAGCAGATGGCCGGACTGGAGTCATCCTTGAGATGAGGAGTTGTTAGATGCCTCGATGTTCTTCGTTTTCTTGCCGTTGACGTCGCCTTCCGGCGTCTACGCCCAACTCTGATTATGCCTTCAACACTTGCAAGTCTCATCAACTTGCTCTGATCACGTCCTCCACTGGGAAACTACGAGTTTTTTCTGGCGGCACCATGCAGGGGGGGGGCTATCTTATTATAGATAAGTGGAATATTTATTACGTATATCAGTGTGAAACATTATAGAGCTTGAAGCTCTATGGAGGAGATGAATATGAGAGATGTAGTATGTTGGCCGTAAATGGAGGTTCCCTTTTTTCTTGGGTGTCATGCCTCTTTTATAGTTGAATTTGAGCCTAGGGTTGGAGTTTCCTCAATGGGCTTATCTCATGGACCAGACCCAATATCTTACACGCCCAAAAGGTAATATCTAATGATAACTAATGAAAATGTGCAAATAAACAAAATTTATCAAAAAACTATAGTGATAGCAGTATAAATCATTTGATAACAAAGGAAGTACAATTTTGTTTTAATGAAAGAAATTTGTTATTTTTTTCCTTCATCTATGAATGGATGAAGTATTATATTGTCCTACAAGCTGTTAGTTGATGTGCTGCCACACAGTATTGAGATGTAGACAATGCTATGGGCTATGGTTCACTGTCGGGCAGCCGGCTGAGTACAGAGTGTTCGGGTTTGTGATCGCACTCATAGTCAAGATGAACAAACGCTCGTTCTACTTCGGGGAGCTTCTCCAGCTTTATTTGAAGTTTCTCTCCTATGGTGTGAGCTTCTTTCAAGGGCAAATCTTCTGGTAGCTCAATATCAACCTATACACAGGCAAAGCAGAGACTTTGTGAGAGGACACCAGACAAAAAGTATCTGAATGCAGACAGAAGAGTAATAGTGCTAAGGAATACACAATTACTGTAATTAATTAGATAGACTATATATTCATCAAAGAAAGGATAGAATGGTTCAATAATGAGTGCGAGAAACCTCAACAAAGTAGAGGACCCCAAAAGTATATGCTCGGACTGTGTCAACGCGTTTCACTTCAGGGTGCCCAACAACTAGATATGTTAACTTCTGCAATACTTCAGGAGGGGCCGATCGCCCTACTAGTGACACTTTCATCAATAACAGAAATAGGTCCATTAGTACCAAATTGAAATATGAGATGCCCTTCTTTTTTTTGGGGGGGGGGGGGGGGGGGGG